ATAATGCCGGTTGGGAAAAAGCAAAAGGAAAACGCAAACCAAACAGTCATTGCCTGAAGGGAATTTTCAGATTGGAAAACTCACAGGTACTATTTCCATAGTAAAATGTGACTTTTAATGCAGTTCAACAACATTGGTTGAATTCCATGGTTGCTATTAATTCAACCTCCCTCTCCCCACTGAAACAGTTTTATTGTTTCAACTTCCTTTAAAACTGCTGTCACCTCCGGCTCCTTTAAAAGAAATCGCCAAGACTTTGCAAACTAGGTGCCAACTGTCCTGCTCTGATGGGTCTGTTGGCTAGGTGAGGCAGCACACTTCCTAGGAGTCCTGTCTCTCTTGGAACCATTAGCACGGGACAGCTAAATGGAAAATGTACATTAAGCTCATGCTGTTGCAAGTTTGAGGGTGGCTGAATGCTGACTTTACAAAACCAGACTGACAAAGGTGATCAGTGAGTCCTTCATTAAATAATGCAGAAAAACCTGTGACGGGTAAGGTGTGAAATAGCACTGCCTTGCTGTGGTGTGACTGGTAGAAATGCTCATCGAGGTGGATCCTTGGGATTCTTTCCCAGATTCACTTGTACTTTTATTGCTTTCCTCAGTCTCAAAAGACCAACTGATGAACTTCTGAGACTGACTGGCTCCTTATTTTTCAGGCCACAGGGCATCTACTATAAAAGGATAAAAAGAGAAGCAGACAGAGGAGGCTATGTGCTCCGAAACAGAAAACTTCAGTGGTGAGTCAGAAGGCAAGGTGTTTTGCAGGCCAACCAACCTCAGAGCAGTACAGCTGGATCAAGATGCAGTCCACCCAAACTTACTAAAATAGACCGTGTCCAGACATCGCCCTTGCCTCCCTGACTCTGCCTTCACCACAGCAGCTGAAGTATCCTTTCACTCAATTAACCTTTGACTAAATCCAAAATAAAACAGATGGTGAGAAGCCATAGAAGAAGAGGTGAGGCCTTTTGTACTCCATTTTGGGCTATTGATTTTCCAGTAACAGATATTTCCTGGAAAGGCTTTAGAGTGAGTTCATTTTTATAACTGCCTTCCAAAGAGAAAGAGTTATATAAGTCTGAGGAAATTATTTTATGAAGCTAAAATGCATAAACAAAAGCTGAAAATGGAGATGATGGCCAATGATAAAGGAAGGCTATCATGGCCTCAGGAAACTTGGAATCAAAGCAAAAACATCCTATTATAGAAGTTTTGAGATAATTATACTGCCCATAACAATGAGTTAATGTCAGTGGAGTTAATGTCAAAGGTGATTATTACTCTATTTCTGTCCTACTTGACTAGTTTGCCGACACAGCTGCCTGTTCACCTTCAGGTGCAGTGATTGGCAGCACACCTGCAGGTCCTGGGCCCTCACAGAACAAGCAGCCCCAGCCTATCATCGACACATAGATTGCAAAATCCCACCTTTCCTACTGCATGTAGGCTCTGTAAGGCATACCATTTAGGTGTCTACCATAAGTTACAATGAACTGAAGAAAGTTAGTAAAAATAAGCAATACTGGCCCTTACTGATTGTATTTTCCTATTTCCATGTAGGGAAAAATCATCTCTCACTCTCACCCTGCTCATCCTCAGAGTTGAATATTCAGATCTTGTGAGTCTGCCTTTTGGTGGCAGCACAAAGCACAGCCTTGTGACAGTGCGCGGCAGGAGCTGCATTCCAGCTTCCAAGGGGCATTTTGATGGGGGAAGAAGAGAAGGCAGTCCGCGCCACCACCTACGGGCGTGGATGGCAGGCACACAGCATCCTTGCCTGGGTAATCCACGCATACAGTTCCCCTTCCCTGCCTGAATTCTCTTTCAGCTCTTTTCTGCTTATCTAAGTGCCTACACTCCATGAATCCTATCTCCTGGATTGAACCTTTCCCTTTATTGTTCTCCAATGTTAGTTTAGTATGCATCAGAATTGGGGGGAAGGGGAGGTTGGGCGAGTGGTGTGTGGCTGAGCACGTTGTTCAGAACGCTGTTTTCTGAGATCTACCGCCAGGTTCTGATGTAGCAAGTCAGCTATGGGGCCCAGACATCTGCAGTTTTAACAAGCTCCCTGGGGGCTTCTTCTGCAAAGTATTCCCCAACCCATTATGAGAAAACCGCCTTAGGACACTATAACTTTACATCATTCTCTGCCACATGGCTTACACCATCATGTCTGTCCTGTCTTCCCAATGAGACCAACATGCCAAGACCCAAGTGCTGCACACAAACGGAGCCTGACAGCTAAGCTAGAGATCCCTTATCCTGCACTTCCCTTTTTCGGTTTTACGGAGGTATAATTGACAAATAAACACTGTATATATTTAATATAAACAACTTGATGTTTTGATATACGTATACATAGTGAAAAGGTCACCACACAGAGCTAATTAAGACATGCATCACCTTATACAATTACCATTTTCTTTGTGCTGTTTTTGTTGTTGTTACTTACTTTGTAATCCCTCCCGACACGTAACATCAAGTTACAACGAGCAGAAGAAAATTATTAGAAAAAGTACCTGCTATTTTTCAATGGTGAGAGAAGCGTAACAAATGGCAACAGACTTTGAGGACAATGAAAGAACCAAGGTCAGCACAGCAAAAGCTACCGCTGCGCTGCCACATCCCTAAAGGAGGCTAAACTCCCATTCAAAACAACACACCAGCAGGAGCCAAGCCTTGTTTAGACACATTAAATATACCCCATGGCAGATGCAGGTCTGCCCTGGCACCCAGAGCCACTGTTATCACGCTGGAGAACTTTCTCACATTTCAAAATTGATGTGCCACCAGAATTGTATCAAGAACTGAATGGGGCTGACATCAGCAGACAATCCCTTGGAAACTTAAAAAGGAGAAGAAAATGTCCGTAGAGTTGCAAATTCCAAAAGGTCTCTATCCTGCCCAACTCTATAGGATGTGATGTTAATTTTATGTGTCAACTTGACTGGGTCACAAGGTGGCCAGATTAAACATTACTTCTGGGTGTGTCTATGAGGGTATTTCCAGATGAGATGGGCCTTCGAACTGGTAGAGTGAGTAAAGCAGATGGCCCTCCCCAATGTGGGTGGGTGTCATCCAACTGGCTGAGGGTCTAAGTAGAACACAAAGGCTGAAGAAGGGAGAATATGCTCTCTGCCTGACTCCTTGACATAGAACATCAGTCTTCTACCCTCAGACAGGAACTTACACCACTTTCTCTCCTGGTTCTCAGGCATTAAACTTCTAGCAATCTACTCTACAGATCTTTATATGCTTTGCCAAAGTTCCATGTATAAGATGTTCACCGCACAATTGTTTCTAATAGTAGGAACTATAAACTGTGCACATGAACTCCAATAGGAGGTGGTGTGGGTAAAATTATAATATTTCCAGAATATCTCACCTGGCTTTATAGTACATCTGCATATCCACAGGCGTTCAGAGGTGGAAAGAAGTATGGCCTTAGTGCATTTGCATCATTCCTCAGAGGTGGAGAGAAGTTCATATCAGTATCAATGGGTAAGTACCTGGGCAAGGAGGGCTTATCCTACCTGAGAGGTGAAGGGAAGGTCCGTTTTGCTTCTTCACGAGCAGAGGAAAGAGGGCCCTGGACTGCAGTTTGTAAGCAATAAACGGGTTTTGAACTTGATTTCTCCCTTTGACTGATTTCAGTTTTTAGAGGTATTTTGCCCTGGGATTTCCTTTCCCCGTACTTACGGGTGGGTGATAACAAACTGTAGCACACCCAGAGTTTGTGTATAGTATAGATAGGATTTACATAAGGCCCATAAGAACCACAGAGGTTAATCCACCTCAGATAATCCCAAAACATTTTAAACTGGTAGAATCAGCAGAGGCAGAGAAACATCCAAAGCAGAGCGCTGGTATACTCCAGATCCGTGGGGAGAAGAAACTATGGTAACAATTTTCATCCACTATTCAACTCTGTCCTTTCTTTAAAAAATTAAACCACTGGGGGTCATTTGGAAGCTAAAAGAAGTGAAGTGGAGGAAAGGAAGAGGGAGTCAAGTTCTGCTGGGTCATATATTTAAATTTCAGAAATGTAAGAGGAAAAATAGTAACAAAATTGTTGCCTGTGATTACTGTTCAAGTTACCTATGATCCTTCTTGATTTTTCACACCAACTACCACTCATGTAATCATTATGGAGCAAATTCACTGAAGAGTGAAATTCAATTTTTTGAAACCAAACGTATAGAGATGTTTTAAAATGATTTATCCATGCACAAAATGAAAAGGAGCATGCAGTACAAACACACATTGAATACTGGGTGAAAAGTGAAACTATTTCAGCAGAGGTGGGGGACGACGACAAAGCTACCAGACAGAGAATTGTAGAGGTTATAGTGACTTAACCTTTTCATTAGTGGCAGAGCCAAGTCTGGAAAGGACATATGAAGGAAAGCTGAGAGAAGATTAAGGAGGATGATGTGATTTCTTTTTCAAATGGGAACTTATTTTGAGTATTGCACATGCCCTATTTATAGCTAATATATTTTGACATATCTGTGTTCAAGCCAGAGCCATTTCATTCCTCCTTCTGTACCAAAGGGCAGTCTTCCCTTTGGGCACGCCTCAAAAACAAGATTGACAGTATTTTAGAAGATATCACAATGGATTGATTGATTCTAAAATAAAATCACAGCGTGCAATGACTTACAACTTACTGCATTAGAGGAACTTGGGAATTCACCGTCTAAAGCTGTGGTAAGGCTATATCTAACTGCTGAAATTCCCCATATGCCTATGTATTGACCAATTTCTCTTCTGCTGCTGTTTCATAGGCCGTGCTCTGAATCTTTGTGCTGCCTTTGAATTTTTCACTGTGGTGGATGTAAAACTTCTAGAAGAGCTCCAGTGCAAGGCAGCAGACTCTTGCCATGCAACTGCATCCAGCCTTCCAGCTGTGTCGCCTTAACACATCAGTGGTTCAACAGGTGAAAAGGGTCCATGAGAGTCAAGAAAACTTTTGTTTATCATCTGAACACTCACCACGGTATAATAATTCTTAGTAAGTGGAGTAGTTTCAAATCCTTTCACAGCCTTGGGAGAGATGGGTCTCTCTGTGAAAAAGACATTTAAATTATTTTAATATCATAAAAGACTGAGATGTACATTTTATAATAGTCAACCGACATACTATAAATATTGTCAAATGGAAGGATCAGTGCAAATGTACGTTCCTAAACAAGGGAAACTACACTTTTACTAAATTATAGGTGGTCAAAGTTAGATCTTCTTATCCAGGCCCCTCAGTTTCTGAGGGGGAGAATAAGTTAAGGAGCTAACGCTGAGCTGATGAAGAACATCGTTCTCAGTGTGGGCTTGTTTACTCCCTTCTGCCTCTCCACTCAACTTACTCAAAACAGATAAGCAAAGCCAATGCTCACCAATTATATATATTTGTAACTTGCAAATTGCTATACAAGTATAATATAATATAAATAATAGCAGCCATCCTTTCTTGAGGCCGTCTGCTGTGCCAAAATAATCAAAATCTTTAATACACTGAAAACTAGCAGAAAATTCTTCTCCCTTTTATGTATCATTTTAGTATCATTCCATTCTGCTATAAAACACTGCCTTTCTTCTACAAAGTTAATCTTATCTATTAATCTCATGACTAAGAGACATCTTAGGACAGTGTTTCCTTAAAAAGGAAAACCACTTAAGAAAAAATACAAGACAGTGATCATAAATGATTAGCAGGGTTACTACATACTATCTTTTCTACCCTCATTTTCTCTTTTGCTTCCCTTTGCTTTATATTCTATTTTTATCTTGCTGTATTGGATGCTGCTTTTAAACACTTTCTGAAATATGATATAATATAAATAACTAAAGAATAAGATACCATCAGACCTTGATTTTCCCTTTTTAAAAATATTTTCCACTTTTAAACCTATTACATTCCCACCCTAAAAACTGCAAAATATAGAAAATAAAACTGATGATTAGCCCATCAGCCACAGCTAATCATCACCCAGAGTAACATTTTGAAGTGTATCTTCCCATTTCTTCTACATATGTGCTCATGAACAAACATACACATAGCTCTTTCTTACTTTACCTACAATTTTGTAATTCTCCTTACTACAGCATTATTTCATGAGTATTTTCTCATTTAACCTTGATTTTTAATGAGCATATGAAAAAATATCCCTTATATTTATTAGGCACTTAATAGCTTTAGGACATTGTATTTGGTCTTTACAACAACCTTATCAGGCAGAGATGACCTTCTCATTTTGCAGAGGAGGTCACTGAAGTTCCAGGAGGTGAAGTCAGTTGCCTAGCGGAAACTGGCCATGCTGGGAAAGGGCAGAGCCAAGATTGAGACCCAGGTGTGTCTTAACAAGAGCTTGTGTTCCTTCACCAACATGATTCCCAGAGAGAAAGTTCCCAAAAGGCTCGATCGATGGCTTGAGCAGTAGTTTCTACCAGAGCTCAGAGGGGCCATCATTTTGAAATGGGGTGGTCAGAGATGACCTTGCTGTGCAGGGTCAGGAGGGTGACTAGTATTCAAACAGGCAGAGAAGACAGTAGAGAGTTTTCTAGACAGCACAGCTATAGAAATTTCAATGCTCAAGGCAGTACTGTTCCTATGACAGTGGATCATCCATCTAGGCCAAGCAGGGTAGAGTGGAAGTAAGGTAAATAGGTAGCAATGAGGGCCAATTCTGTCACTTCCTAGTGATGACAAGTGGGGCATGGCCAGTGTCTGGAAGCTTTACGCTATTTCAAGATCTGTCTGGATCTACCTGGTGGCTTCACAAGGCTTTACTAAGCAAACCTGAGCAATCAGAGCCACCTTGCCTATACTTGGGATTCTAACTGGCAGAGCCAGGACTGCAACACAAGTATATCCACCAAGCCTGGTGTGCTTTCCAAGTTTTCCACCAATGTAGCTATAATGGTTCGACTTAGAACTCACAGTTGTTTGGTACAATTATGATGTAAACTAGCCTTGATTAAAAATGAAACTTTCTAGAGATAGTAGCAAGATACGGTCAAAAGGTATGCTTCAAAAGCAAGGCGGAAAGGAAGGAAAAACAGTAATGGAGAACATGCAAAGGCACAGAAGAGGAAAGGAAAGGCCACAGGAATGGGTAAGTGCGATTGAAACAAAACGCTAACTATGTAAAGCAGAGAAGAGGAACATGAATTGGAGAGAAAGAACTGGCTGCCTTGCAGATTTCTGGGTGGCTGAACATAACACAAAGAGCTAGTGCTCTGATAAGACTGATAAAATTGTCAAACCTCTAGCAGCACTGACAGACACAAAAAGAGAGGAGACTCAAATTAGCAATATCAACAGTAAAAGAGGTAATGTCAATACAGACTCTGAGGATGTCAAAAAAACAAAGCAATAGATGAACAATTCAACACACGTAAATTTCATAATTAGATGTGAAACAAACCAGTCACTCAGAAAATAAAAACTACCACAACTCACCCAAATGAAATAGACCATTTGAACAACAATTAAGGAAATAGAATTTATAAGTTTAAAACTCTGGAAAATGAAATCGTCAGGCCTATATAGTTTCACTGGAAAATTCTACCAAAGGTTCAAGGAAGAAGCAATACCCATCCTTAACCTCTTACAGAGAATAAAAGAGGGACAACATTCCAACTCACTTATGAAGTCATTATTACACTGACACCAAAACCAAACAGTACAAAAAAATCTTCACTATCCCTCCCTCGTGAATTAGGTGCAAAAATCCTTAACTGAATATCAGCAAATAAAATGCAGCAATATTTTTAAAGACTTCATACCATGGCATTCATCCCAGCAATGCAAAGCTGGTTAAATATGCAAAATTCAATCAATGTGACCCCACAATGTCAATAGTCTAAAAATAAAAACTGCATGATAATATCAATCAATGCAGAAAAACTTCTGACAAAACTCAACACCCATTCAAGAAGAAAAAATCTCCCCCCAAAACAGGAACAAAGTGGAACTTATTCAACCCAATAAAGGGCAGCTACAAAAAACCTACAGCTGATATGTTACACAATGGTGAAAGATGGACTGCTGCATGCTTTCGGCCTCAGATCAGGAGCCAGGGAAGGGGGTCTGCTCTCACACTCTCCTTGAGCCTAGTGCTGGAGGCTCTGGCGTCCCGGCAGTCTGGATGCAGGAAGGGGGATCAACACAGAGTCGAAGGATCAAACTTGGAGAATCTTCAAAAATACAGCCCTTGCAAATGGCTGGCCCCATGACAAGCTTCAGGGGGTGGGTACAGAGAGAAAAGCACCAGCACTATGCCTCAGTGACAGCTTCATGCCTCTTGTTCCTCTATGACCCCACACCCACCCTGCCACTCCTTCCTCGCCCCCACCGCCCCTGCCATGAGTTCGCTCTGAAAGCCACAGCCACATGAAGAGAAGGAATAAATATGTGGAGGTTCAGTGAGACAAGTTCAGTCCCTAGGGTGGTTCAGAGTGACCCTTTTAGGGGGGTTTCTAAGGCAACGGAAAGATGGGTCAATGCAATCACTGAGAAACATCAAGGTAGTGAAGGATTCCAGTGGGTTGCTTGGCATAATCTAATTCAACAACAGTCTCATGCAGAGCCGTAAGAACTCCCCTAATCCTGATGTAAAGATCCTTTACAAACTGATTTTTTATTCTTTTCCCTCCAGTGCTAACAGTGAAATTCTTACTGCCTGTTGGTGGTGATAGGACAAAAAAAAAGAAATCCAGTGACAGTAACTACTCTCTCTAGATGTGAAACATCTATGTGATACACCCAGAGGATTAAAAGAGGAAGTCTAAATATAAAGCTCAATCCTACTTTTGGTTTATAATCAGTAGGAAGAGACATTTCTTAATCTGCATTAATACAAATTTAATTAGACATCTACCTAATCCCCTCATTTGATACCTATAATTGCCTGCTAATATGTTTTAGAGGAAGGATTTAATGACTCCTCAACTGAAACAGTTGCAGAAAACAGAATTTGCTTAAAATATCTGCTCCAATAATACTTGCCTCAATATTTCCTTGCAATGGAAATTTTACAAGAAAAATTTTAATGCAAAGTCCTGAAAAGACCCTTAGCTTTCCTCAGTAATAAGGACAAAAATAAAAAAGACATATGATTTACTATGTTATTGATGTATGGGCAGAAATTATTTCGATGTATAAATAACATGTTAATATACACAAGTTACCACTGATTTTTAAGAAAAAGACAAAAATTGTATAAAACAGCAAATTTTCTTATTTATAATATATCTGACTCAACAAACAAAAAGCAAATAATCCAATTAAAACATTGGCAGAGGATCTGAACAGACACTTCTCCAAAGAAGAAATTCAGATGGCCAACAGGCACATGAAAAGATGCTCCACATCGCTAATCATCAGAGAAATGCAAATTAAAACCACAATGAGATATCACTTCACACCAGTTAGGATGGGCAACATCCAATAGACAAGAAACAACAAACGTTGGCAAGGATGTGGAGAAAGGGGAGCCCTCCTACACTGCTGGTAGGAATGCAATTAGTTCAACCATTGTGGAAAGCAGTTTCCTCAAAAAACTCAAAATAGAAATACTATTCGACCCAGGAATTCTACTCCTAGGAAATTTACCCCAAGAATGCAGGGGCCCAGTTTGAAAAAGACATATGCACCCCTATCATTACTGCTGCACTATTTACAACAGTCAAGAAATGGAAGCAACCTAAGTGTCCATCAGTAGATGAACGGATAAAGAATAAGTGGTCCATATATACAATGGAATATTATTCAGCCATAAGAAGAAAACAAAGGAACATAACAGCAGCAGACTCAGAGAACCCAAGAATGGACTAACAGTTACCAAAGGGAAAAAACCGAAGGAACTCACAGAACCCAAGAATGGACTAACAGTTACCAAAGGGAAAGGGACTGGGGAGGGTGGGTGGGAAGGGAGGGAGAGATAAGGGGAATAAGGGACATTGTGATTAGCACACATAATGTAGTGGCGGGGCACGGGGAAGGCAGTATAGCACAGAGAAGACAAGTAGTGACTCTCTAGCACCTTACTACGCTGATGGACAGTGA